TTTCTCTGCCTGATTTGAGGTAGTTGAGATCCCTAATATTCTCATTAAATAATGCAGTATTTCAGTTTTATACTTCAAAAAAGAAAGACTTGATTTTTTTTTTAACTGGATTTTTTTTCCTGATCTGGTTGAAGGCAGAATTGTAATTTTTGGGGGTATTCAGTCTCTACACTGCACTTTACATACAGAAATGGATCAATCTAAGCCCAGTGACGTGGTCCGTGGCAGCTTGTACCAGCTGCATCTGCCTTAGCTCATGGAAAGCATTCCTGAAAGCAGTATGTGTAAACAACCTGAGTACCAGCAATAAGGACCGAAGCTGCCAAAGTGGTTTGATTGGCAAGAAAATAAAAGGGCAAATTGTAGAATATCTGAATCGTGGAGCTGCAGAACCAGTAATGGTACTCCAGGCCTAGACACCTGTCCCCTGCCCACCCCTAAATATTCTATAGAGAGCTTCCTGGCCGCAAGGACAGCTTGCCATGCACAAAGGGCCTGTGTAAGGATTTTGCATTCCTGCCTTCATCTGCTGATTTTCTTCCCCAAAACAAGCCAGTATTTCTCTTTAGGTGGCGGTATTCACTGTGGCACAAACGTGGCAGTCTGGTTTGTGCCACAGGGCTGCATATCATAAGCCAGAGTTTTCCAGCTTTTATATTGTGAGTAGTCAGTCTGTTTCAACTGATGTTGTTGGCTTCCTCCTGTACAGCACGATGACCGGGAGGGCGAAGGTGCAGACAAGTGGGTGAACAGAGGCCGTGGCCGGGGTGCTTTCCCCCGAGGAAGAGGTCGCTTCATGTTCCGAAAGTCAAGCACCAGCCCCAAGTGGGCTCATGACAAATTCAGTGGAGAAGAAGGAGAAATTGAAGATGACGAAAGCGGAACAGAAAATAGAGAGGAAAAGGACACTTTACAGACAACGGCTGAATAGCCGCAGTGTCTGTGTGTTTCCGAGAGCCCTGGCAGGAGGGAAGGGGTTCAGCACGATGCTAGTGCTGGAGATTGTCAGGGCGATCCTGAAGTGCTGAGCAGAGCCCCGGAGAGGAGCTCTGAAACAATCCTGAAGTTAACTGCATTTCCAGAGTTCAGCCTCCCTAAGTGTGGACTAGAACTGATAAATCATTTATGCTTGGATCCACTCGTGGAGTATATCTTCCCAAAGACTTACCTTCTGGACTGAATAAGGTCAAGTACAGGGTGAGATCCTAGATTTTCTCTCGTCTGTGACCTTATTGAATGGTCGGTTATTTTTTTGGTAACAGGCTTTGAAGACAATGTGGATTTTGGTTTGTGCCCATCTTAACCCGGTAGTTTTGACATTTTTGTTTCTCTTTTATAATTTGAAATAGTAAAGGTTGGGATTAACTCGCCAGTTCAAATTTTTCTCCCTTACTGTGTATTCAATTTTTTAACTTCATACTCTACTTATTTTAGGCCTTTACGTATGTAGTACCATCAATTAAATGATAATTTTGGAAACAATTCTTGGTTCTTATAAATAAGAAAACAATGAAGCATGTGAATAAACATCTAAATGTTAACTTGTTGGGACCAAACTGCTATGATTTTTTTAAAAAAAACCTTTTTTTTATGTAACAGTTGAGTTTAGGGCCTTTTAAAAATGGTTGTTTTCCTTTTATGTTGAAAGTTAACAAAATTAGCATGGTTTAAAAAAAAAAAAAAACCAAACAAAAATAATTACACCCTACTTTTCACCACTGTTTGTGTACACTGTTAGGCCTGGTGTGTGCTGGAGTCCCAAACTGCTTGTAGGCATTTTGTGTATCCTCTTTGCAGCTGGTTGTGAACTTGAGTGCTCTTTCCAAGGTAACATAGTTTTCTAAGAAACTTCAGAATTCTACTAGGTTAAAAATATAAAAGGAGATGAGAATTTTTCAATATTTTTTATTAATCTTTTTATAAAAACAAAAGGCAAATCCCTCCTGTGCTGGTTAAGGACGGCCGTTATGATGTATTTCTTTTTATCTTCTACTTAAAAATATTCTGAAGAAGTTTGCAAATAGTTCTCTGGCTGAGTCAGTGAGCCTTCTTGGCAGGAGAGGCATGTCCATGCACCGACGCTGAGTGTGCACGTGCTGTAAAGACACCGCTCTCCCTCTCCTCCCCATCTCTGCCTTCCCTTCCCCAGGATTGCTGTGCTGTTTCCCCACACACACCAACTAGAGTTTGGTTTGTTTTGACTTGAACAGTTCCTGTTTAGCAAAGCCCTGAAGTTTGTTTATGCAAATAAAATACAATAAAATAAGTAGTAGGTGTAACTCAGCTTTGTTTTGTGTTCTGAGTCGGGGGCTCCTTCTGTCGCCAGACACTTGCCTTCTGAATTAATTGGTGAGGCTGAAAGAACCAAACGCCCGTGGCCAGCCCTGCTGCAGAGCTGCAGAAGAGTTGCTGGGAAGGGAAGGTTTACACACACGATGGTCCTGGCAGAGAGGTTGGACCAGACAGCACTCACCAACGAAGCTCAACCTGGTACCTGTGGGGTTGCCCCCACTGTTAAAAAGCAGCAGTTGCAAGCAGCTACTCTCGGGGTGTCATGCATGAGAGGTTCCTTTTTTACATGGCTTTCCAGGTGGGGAATGCTGCGCTTGGAAGCAAGTAGGAAAATTGCCCTCGCAACACAAGGGCGTGCAGGAGCAGAGTCCTGCAGTTGCCCCTCCAGGAGCTGGCCAGGGGCAAGCACTGCCACGGTGGAGTTTTATTGAGTTACTGCAGGTACAAGAACGCAGTATTTGTTTCACCGTTAGCCTGAAGTGATTGAGTTCATTGCTTTTAGCAACTAACTGCTGGTTTTTAAGCAGCTGATAGACCTTTTAGCCCCTTGGTGTTGGCAGTAACTGCATGGGGGGAAGGGGGGTGATACAGCCACAGGCCACATTCCCCAGCCCTGCTGCTGGGAGGGATTGTGTCACCCACCAACAGGAAGACCAGCTCCATCCATGCTCTAAAACTGAACTCCTCACTGAAGATCCTGGCTCCAGGCAGCCCAGTTTTATGCCATTAAACCCCAGTGCTTGTCAAGTGCAGGCGAGTAAGCTGGCCATTGCATTTGCTGGTGTCAGGCAGTGAACACTTTTCCATTGCTGCTGCCTCAAAGGAAGATTGCTCCTTGCTGTCTGACATCTACAGGGGCTGCTGGCTGTGCTGCCTTCGTGGCGGATTTAGGTGTCTGCCTGCACTGCAGAGAAGCATTCCTGGCTGGTGTTGGTTAACAGTGTTGGCTAACAGCAGTTGAGACAGTAATGTGGGTTAACGGTTCGTGTTTCCCTTCGCGCTTGAACTCGAGCCCTTGAGCCAACTAGAGACAAAGGGTGCCCAGTGTTCCCAGCTCCTCAGCCTGAGCGGCCAAACCTGGGGGAGAGCAGGGAGAGCACGCTTCCCGCTCCCCAGCAGAAACCGCTCCCCTATCAGCCTTCTCTGCCACCCGGTGCTGATCCTCAGGCCCCCTCCCTGTGCTGTGGTTCAGCATTGATGCGTCAAATGCATTTGGTCTAAAGGAATATTGGTGCTGTCAGCCTGGACCAAGCACTGGCCGGGACCAGCCAGGGAGCCCTGGGGCCACTACGGACGCTTCTGGCTGCTGCGCTCTGCAGGGGGACTTCTGCGGCATGGCCACACCAGCCCTGTGCGCTTGCGGTTTGTGGATTTCGGCCCCTCTGTGGTTTAGGTTTCACTTCCCCTTCCAGACCGAAGGTGACAGACACACAGCGAGACCCGGGTGGCTTCGAGCTGTTGTCCAGGTCCGGGTGTGACACCTGCCTTAGTGCTTCGATCCCTGGATTGGCAGCCTGCGCCGGCTGTGCCTGTGTCGGCAGATTTCGGCTGCTGCCTGCACGTGCAGCTGAGGTAGGGATGCGCCATGCCCGCGGTGCCAAGAGCTCAGTGCTGGCACTGGGTACAGCTGTGCCGCACCGTGGGCTGCCTCTGGGTACGGTTCCTGGGGCCGGGGGGGAGCTTGGGAGGGGCTCGTCTCATCTCGCAGCGAGGCAGGAGGGGTCACAGAGCTGTGAATCCCCTCCACGCTCTGCAGTGGCAGCTGGAGTTGGCTGCTTCTGCTAAATCCACCATGTAACAGCGATAGCCCAAGCCACACACCAGCTCAGAGCTGCGGTGAGCACACGTGCCTTCCCCAGCTGGTGGCTGCCGAGCTTGCCGGGTGGGAGAGTTGGGACAAATTCCCTCCGGCTCCTGGCAGTGACGCTGGGGGAGATGGTGAATCACCTGTAGCGAAGGTGTGAGTGTTGGGAGGGTGCGAGTCGGTGTTCGGGCAGGAGAGAGGCCACAGCAGTGCCTGTGCATCGGATGGGATCGTCCCCGAGGAGACCGAGCTCACGCAAGGCGAGCGGGTGCCCCTTTTTTCCCCCGTGACGCTGCGGCTGCAGCTTCAGGTCTCCTCAGAGGCCAGTGCCAGGCGACAGCAGCACCAGCAGCCCTAAACACCTGGCTCCTGCGTGTCACCACTGCCGCCCTTCTGCACGAACACCCCTGTGCCGGGGTGTCGGAGTGCCAGCTCTGCCGGGGGGGCTCGTCCCATCAGTCTGACCATGACCGAGCTCACCCTGCCACGGTCCTGGACAGCCCAGCCCAGGTGATTCCTGCATGGCTGCTTGTGGGGATTTGTCTGTACCCAAGCCTGCTGGCAGCCTCCGGCACAGCCCGGAGGTGCCAGAGGAAGAGGAGGGCAGGCCTGTGGGTTTGTCCCCGGCTCCCGGTCCCTTCCTCTCCCCAGCCCTTTCTTTCCATGCAGCAGTTTTGTGACTTCTCCGCTCTGTGCAGCAGCCCCAGCCCTTGTCACCAAGCCGCTCTGCTGCCGCGGGGCCCCAAGCCCACCGCCTGCATCAGGGGGTGCCAGGGCTGGGTGCGGGCACAGGGTGGCCCGGGGGTTGAGCTGGCATTTGGGGCTCAGCCGCAGCCGGGAACCCCCTCCCCACTCTCACAGCTGCCTGCCCTGACGGCGAGGCCGAGACGCCGCACTGAAGCAGATGCCCAAGCCCTTCCCAGTGCCGGAGGAGAAGGTGAGTGGGGGGTTGGTTTGGGGGGGACACAGGGCTCTGCAAGCCAGCAGGTGCCTGGGCTTGTCTCTGGCCCCGGCTCGGAGCCGGGACCCTCGTGCCCCCGCAGGTCTCCCGTCCCGCAGGCAGAGCCGCGGCCGGCGGCACAGCGCCTGGCACCCGTCTTGCTGCCAGAGCTGGGTGAGTCACCCATTCCCTCTGCTGTGGGCCAGGGCTGTGCCCAGGGTGGGGGGTCTCCCCTGGGCTTGGTGTGCTGGGGTGGCCTGGAGAGGAGCCCCATCGTCCCGTTCCCGCGCAGACCGGGAGCCGCAGCTGTGCCGGGCCCTGTTTGACTACACCCCGGAGCTGCCGGACGAGCTGCCGCTGCGGCGGGGAGATGTCATCCAGGTCCTCACCAAGGTGAGGGGGGCGCAGGGACGGGGGGGACCCCGAGGCTGGTCCCCGGCACTGATGCCTGCCCTTGTCCGCAGCGGACAGAGGTTGAGGGCTGGTGGGACGGGCAGTGCCGGCACCAGAGAGGGCTCTTCCCCAACAACTTCGTGGAGCTCCTGCCGGCGCCGGTGCCCACGGTGAGTGGGGGCTGCACTGGAGCCACCCTGCCGTGGGACTTGTGCGGCTGGATCCTGCACCCTGGTGGGCTCCATAGAGCCAAATTCTGGTGTCTGTGGGGCCGCGCCGTGTCCCTGCCTGGAGTCCCAGCAGGGGATGCGCTCCGGTGCCCCATCCTCACCCAACCCCACTCTCCCACAGTTGAAGCCGGCGACGCCGCCATCCTGGGACACGGAGTCCGGTGAGTCTGGCCCCAGCGGCCATCCGGCCCCGGGGGCTTCGGTGTCCCGCCAGGACGGCCGGGCAGCCCCGCGGCCGGGTGCAAGGTGGGTTGGGGCAGCCGGGGGGCCGGCCGTGCCAGGGGGCCGGAGGAGCCCCGTGGGGCACGGGGATGCGGCGTGGACCGGCACCGAGGTGCTCTCTGCTTCAACTTCCTTCCCAGCGAGGAGCCGATTTCCTCCGGCGTCACGTGCGCGGTGTGGGGCTGTGGCAGCCAGGGGAGCCTGGCACGGCATCGCACCACACGGCCTCGTGGGCAGCCCCGCACCAGCAGGTAGGATGGAGCGGCCGTGGCTCTGGGGGGTCCCGCGCCTGGGGACCATCCCGGTGGCAGCATCTGCGTGGGGCCATGCTGCTCCGGGGCTGTGTCGGTGCCACAGGAGCTGCTGAGGAGGAGCAGGAGCTGGTGGGACGCTGGGCAGCTCTGGGCACCATCAACTCTGCGCTGCTGGGAGTGATGGAGCCCCAGGACCCGCAGAGCAGCTCCCCGCACCCTTGGGGCTGGGCGCCCTCGTCCCCGTCCTCGTCCCTGCAGCCCTCATGGCTGCAGCTGTCTCTTTGGGTGGATAAAACCCACCACAGGCATTTTTGGTGCCCACGAGGCTGCCGTGGCGAAGGCCGTGCTGGTGGTGGCAGGGTCCAGGCGGCATCAGGGCTGCCAGACCGCCACAGGGACAGGGTGGCCCATCGTGAGGACAGGGTGGTCCGTGGGCACATGCCTGTGGCCTGATGCCTCATACCCCGCTCTGCTGGGGGGGGGCCTGTCCCAGTGGGACCCCAGGGCTCGGCGGCAGAGGGATGCTGCTGTGCCATAGGCGGTGGCGGGATGGCATCCTGCCTGTGCCGCGGTGCTAGCGCTCCGGGGGAGGTTTGCAGCCGCTTGCTCTGCCGTGCACAGAGGAAGCGCCGACCACAGCGGAGCTGGGTGCGGGGCTGGGTGCAGGGTTGGGTGTGGGGCTGGCAGGAGGGGTGGCTGCCCCCAAACCAGCAGAAAGGGCCCTAGGCACATGGTGCCAGGGGCGGTGGGGCAGAGCCCGCCATGGGGCTGCTCAGGTCCTGCCAAGCATCGCTGCCGGCCCCGGCGGGTGTGGGAGACTGTGCTGGTGGGAACCGTGGGCCCAGGAGCACCGTGGGACCGTCTCCCACTGGTCCTACCTGTGGGTGCCTCGTCCCCAGCACCCCCTTGTCCCCCACACACAGCCCTGAGCCCCCGGGGCCCCTGGCAGGAGCAGGGTGCAAGGATGTGGGAGTCAGGGATGGAGTGGACCCTGGAGACCATGTCCTAGCAGGGTGGGGGGGCTGTCCCACCCAGCTGAAGGGTCCCTGGGAGAGGGACCATAATGAGGATCCTTCCCCCAGCGCCTGACGAGCCCCTTTTTGCTCCCCAGCAGCCTGTAAGACAGCGAAGGACGAGGAGGGGGAGCACCTGGGTGAGTCCTGGGCTGGGGGAGGCGGGAGGGAGAGAGGGGGACGTGCCCCGGACAGGACCCCCGTGCCTGGTGCAGGTCCCCAGTGCTGGGGCATGGCTGTGCCATTCGGTGCTGGCTGTGCCGTGCGGTGCTCACTGTGCTGATCCCAGCCCCAGCCCCGGTCCTGCCTCCTCTCCCCAGAGTTGCCGGCACCGGTGAGGATGGAGCCGGCTAAGCTCCCCCCCAGCAAGAGGATGGCTCCTGCTCCCCCTGTCCCTGCCAAGACCAAACCAGCCCCCACACTGGCGAGCAAGTAAGATGATGCACGTGGCCGTGCTGGGGTGTTAGGGGCCGCCGCGATGCCCCCAGCGCCGGGGCTGTGCCGATGTCCACGCTTGGTCCCCGGAGTGGGGCTGGCATCTCCCCCGTGGGAGGGCTGAACGTGGCCCAGTTGTGCCGCTTTTTACCATCCCCAGGCTCGGTGGCCCCCAGCCCTGCGCCTCGGCCGACACGGAACAGGGCAGAGCCGGCGACCCAGGTAGGAGCCGGGTACCGGCACCGGGCGCTGCAGCCGTCGCCGGACCGTGCCCTGCGCCAACACCGGGCGCCGATAATCTCTCTTTGGCAGACGCTGATGGCTTCAACGCGGTGCCGGTCACCACAGCCAAGCTGAGCCACCCCACTGCCACGCGGCCCCGGGTACCCGGCCAGCGGCCCCCCAGCCTTGCCCTGGGGATTGTGGGGGGTCCCCACGCCGGGCCCTGTACCCCTCTCCCCGGCGCGGGGCAGGCGCCCGCTCCGCCATGGAGCACGGAGGTGCCAACGGCACCGCGGCCGGAGGAGAGGCTGGCCCTGGAGGACCTGAAGGCTGAGGTCCGGTCCCTGCACATCCTCGTGGACCTGATGCGAGTCCAGCACCTGTAAGTGGGGACGGGGTGGGGGGGGTGTTGGGGTGCTGGTGGTGGCGGGGGTCCCGCTCGCTGCCCGGTGTGGTCCCGGCTGAGTCGTCCCCGGCGTGTTGCAGGCGGGACCTGGAGGACATGCGGCTGGAGATGTGCCAGGAGCGGGCCAAGCGCCAGGCGCTGCAGGTGAGTCCCTGGCGAGGGGCTGCTCCCGTGTCAGGGTCCCC